AGTAGCACTATTAGGAGGTGTGGCTTTGTTGGAGTAGGTATGGTCTTGTTGGAAGAAGTGTGTCACTTTGGGGGCAGCTTTGAGATTTCCTACACTTGGGATACATCACAGTGCTTCAGTAGATTTCCTGATGCTTGCAAGATGTAGAACTCTCAGCTGCTCCTCCAGCACTATGTCTGCCTGCATGCCACCATGCTCCCCATCATAATGATAATGGACTGAACCTCTGAAATTGTAAGTGACCCACCCAATTAAATGCTTTCTTTGTGAGAATTGTTTTGGCCATTGTGTCTCTTCATAGCAAGATAAACCCAAATCCAAAGGTTCCTTCTTTGGAGTGGGCCTTGAGTCAAATTGGACATTGGCTATTCCTATAAGTTCTGTGCCCCCATTGCAGAACAGATCGTAGTTCAAAGGTTTGTGGCTGGGTTGGTTTCCACATTTCTCTTTTGATAGCCTGCAGAGTACCTTCCTTTACTAAAGAGACTAGAACATAAGGGTAAAAGCTCCATGTAAGCACCAGCTCGACTTCTCCATGTTCAGTGAGTTCTGTAGTTGTTGCCCTCAACAATGAGGTCCCCACTGCCAGTTTTCAGAGAACAATGCTTTGTCTTAGTAATAGCTTGGGTTGTTTGGGAATTTCCAATGGGCCCCCTTTGCCAACCACATAATTGATTGCAACCCAGTCCTGCCACTGGAAGCCTCACCTGGTGACAAGAGATGGCCAACTGAGACTCCATATTCTCCATACTAGAAGTCCTCATTAGGATCACTTTCATAGATTCCAGGAAGTTTCCACTGCACTGGGTTTCTATTCCCTCCCCCTAAGTCCCCCAATTGCAGCTGTCATCCCCCCACACTCTTCTTCCATCCACCTCCTCATCTGACTCTCTGCTCTCATTTCTACCCACCTTCAGCCTGCCCAGAAGTCTCTTCTCTTTGGCCCACCCCCAACTCCTCCTCTTTCAGCCAACCTCTCTGGGTCTGTGGATTGTAGCTTGGTTATCATTTACTTAATTGCTAATATCCACTTATAAGTGGGTATATACCATGTTATCTTTCTAGGTTTGTATTATCTCACTAAGGATTATTTTTTCTAGTTCCATCCATTTGCCTACAAATTTCTTTTTTCCTCCTTTTTAATTAAAAAAATTATATTCATTTTACATACCAACCCCCATCCCCCTCCCTCCCTTTCTTCCACCCTTTCTGTCCCCTATCCACTCCTCAGAGGAGGTAAGGCCTTTGGGGAGTCAACTTGCCTGCAAATTTCATGATGTCATTTTTCAAACAGTTGAATAATAGTCTGTTATGTAAATATACCACACTTTAGCCATTCTTCTATGGATGAACACCTAATTTGTTTCCAGTTTCTGGCTATTATGAATAAAGTTGTAATGAACATGCTTGAGCAAGTGTCCTTGTGGTAGTATAGAGTCCTTTGGGTGTATCCTAAGATATATATATATATGTGTGTGTGTGTGTGTGTGTGTGTGTGTGTATATATATACGTGTGTTTATGTTATATGTGTATATATATATATATATGTAATAGTTGGATCTTGAGGTAGATTAATTCCCAACTGTCTGAGAAGCTACCATATTGATTAACAGTGTCTGTCCAAGTTTGCACTCCCACCAGCAATGGAGGAGCGTTCCCCTTGCTCCACATCCTCACCAGCATGAGCTGTCACTTGTGTTTTTGATGTGAGCCATTCAGACGGGTGTAAGATGGAATCTCAAAGTGCTTTTGAATTGCATTTTCCTGATGGCTAAAGCTGTTGAACATTTTTAAAGTGTTTCTCAGCCATTTGATTTTTTTTTCTGTTGAGAATTCTTTAGATCTGTACTCCACTTTTTAATTGGATTATTTGGTTTTTTTTGATATCTAGTACCTTGAGCTCTTTATATATTTTGAATATTAGTCCTCTATCAAATGTGGAGTTGCTAAAATTATGGAGTGGGCACCCTTGTCTTGTTCCTGATTTTAGTGGGATTGCTTTGAGTTTCTTTCCATTTAATTTGATGTTGGTTATAGGCTTGATGTAAACTGCCTTTATTACGTTGAGGTATGTCCTTGTATCACTGATCTGTTCAGGAATTTTATCATGAAGGGGTGTTAGACTTTGTCTTTTCTGTATCCATTGAGATGATCATGTGGTTTTGTTCTGGTTTGTTTATAGGTGGATTACACTTACTGATTATGGATTACATTTACTGATGGTTTATAGGTGGATTACACTTACTGATTTTCATGTAATAAACCATCCCTGCATTTCTGGGGATAAAGCCTAATTGATTGTGGTGGATGATCTTTTTGATGTGCCCTGAATTCAGTTTTCAAGTATTTTATTGAGTATTTTTACATCTATGTTCATGAGGGAAATTGGTCTGTAATTCTCTTTCTTTCTTAGATCTTTATGTGGTTTGTATATCTGGTTAACTGTGGCCTCCTAAAATTAATGTGGTAATGTTCCTTCTGTTTCTATTTTGTGGAAGAACGTGAGGAGTATTGGCATGAACTCTTCTTTGAAAGTCTGATAGAATTCTGTGCTAAAACCATCTGGCCCTGGGCTTTTTTTTGTTTGGAAGAGTTTAGACCGATTCTATTTCACTAGTGATTATAGGTCTATTTAAATTGTTTATCTGATCTTGATTTAACTTTGTTAAGTGGTATCTATGGAGGAAACTATCCATTTCTCTTAGATTTTTCCAATTTGGTGGAGTACGGGTTTTAAACTATGTTGTCATGATTCTCTGGATATTCTCAGTGTCTGCTGTTATGTCCCCCTTTTCATTTTTGATTTTGTTAAATTGGATATTCTTTCTCCATCTGACTAAAAAGTGAGTCTAAGGTTTTGTTTGTTTTGTTGATTTTCTAAAAAACAAAACAATAAACCCCCACAACTGTTTCATTGATTCTGTGTTTTCTCTTTGTTTCTATTTTACTGATTTCAGCCCTGTTTGATTATTTCTTACTCTCTACTCATGCTAGGTGTGATTACTTCTTTTTGTTCTAGAGCAGTGGTTCTCAACCTTCTTAATGCTGTGACCCTTTAATACAGTTACAAATGTTGTGGTGACCCTAACCATAACATTTTTTTTGTTGCTACTTCATAACTGTAATTTTGCTAATGCCCTCACTTCACAAATACCTTAACACAGTCCATAGGCCAGAGTAGTTTATTTTCAACTTCTTTACCAACATTTAAAATCACAATAAAAGAAAGTATAATATCATAGTTTTGGCTACTTGGTTTTTCAATACACAACAACAACAACATTTGGAATTTGTTACTCCCAACTCAGTTTATTTATGTGTGCTAGGAATCAAACTCAGGTTGCCTACAAGAGCCACAGCTCTTTCAACTGTTAAGTCACCTCTCCAGCTCCCACACTAGATTGTGAGATTTAGTTTAGTATGTTTGAGTTAATTGTTCCAGAGACATGTGAAGTTTGTGTTCCGATTGGCTTTTGTTTTCTTTTTGTCAACTTGACACAAGCTGGAGTTATTTGAGAAAAGGGACTCCAGTTGAGAAACACCTCTCTCAGATGGCCTTTGGGCAGGGTAGTGGGGCGTTTTTCTGGATTAACGATTGATGTGGAATGGTATGCCACCCCTGGGCAGGTGGTCTTGAGTTGTATCAGAAAGAAGGCTGAGCAGCACTCTCTCCAGAGCCTCTGCTTACTTCCCATCTCCAGGTTCTTGCCTTGAGTTCCGGCCCTTACAGGGTGATGCCCTTACAGTGTGACCTGAGAACTCTAAGCTAAAGTAAACCCTGTTCTTCCCAAGTTACTTTTGGTCACGGTGTTTACCACAGCGATAGGAAAAACCTAACATAGTTGGAAAGATGGGAAGTTAAGTTGTTTAAGACTTCACCATTGCTAATAATGTTCATGGGTCTATAAACCACATTTTAGTGATTTGGGCTGTCTGACAGAGAAACTAGAGTAGACACGAAATCCCACCATTCTCTCACACAGCTTCTGACAGAGAGGGTGGAGCAGGCAAAAGGCATTGGTTGGGTAAGCAAAAAGATGTAGAGCATTAGGAATGTGGCTTGAGGTCACAGGAATGACAGCTACAATACCTGCAGGAAATGACTCCATCCTAACAAAATCCTACCTTTTATATACAATTTTTCTTTAAAAATTAGTAAACTTGGGGGCTGGAGAGATGGCTCAATGGTTAAGAGCACTGTCTGCTCTACCAGACGACCCAGGTTCAATTCTCAGCACCCATGTGGCAGCTCAAGACAGTCTGTAATTCTAGTTCCAGAGAATCTAACACCCTCACACAGACATATACGCAGGCTAAACACCAATGCACATAAAAATACATAAATAAACTTAAAAAAATAGTCAACTTTTGATTATCTGTGAGAAAAAGGATAGGACTAGTAAAAAAATTTAATCCAACATGTCTTCAGGATGGCTCAAACATTATAAACTTAAAACTTTTCAGGCCAATAGCAAACTGAAAAACTGAAAACTGAGTTCCACCTCCTCCCTGCCATTGTCTTCTGGCAAAGCTGAATAGGAGGCACAAGACTCAGCTGGACCATGTAACTCATGTTATCATAGACATCTATTGTTATACACTACGTATCATCTGCTAATGATGGGCATCGAGGACATGCAAGGGCCTTTCAAGTTCACAGCTTACAGAGCTGTCACTTTATAGTTGCTGGGAGAAGACGGGTGGGGCTTGGGGTCAGAGACAAAGGACAGCATATTACAACCACAGGAGGCAGAGCATCAGTATGCCCTCTTCCGATGCATTCCTCCGTCAATTTCCATATTCCCATGTGGCACTGTGGGAAGAAAGGGCTAGGTGCCATCTGCACTCTCTTTGTGACGTTTGAGAGGAAGCCTGAGCTCAGCTCAGGGAGATCAAATCTGTACTCAGCGGTAGCCCCCGTGGGAAGACAACAGTGGGCTGTGGCAAGGGTTACCCATTCCTCATTGCAAGAATCAGTGATGGAGGTCTGGACAGAAACTTTTCTTAATAAACATTTTATTAGCAATGTAAATAAGACCAGGAGAAGAATTTTTGTAAAGATTTATCTTATTATACATGCGTAGGTACCTCATGTCTGTGCTTGGTGTCTGAGGAGATCAGAAGAGGGCACTGGAGTCCCTGAAACTGGAGTTTTGGATGGCCATGAGCCACCATGTGGGTGCTCGGAATTGAACCTGGGTCTTCTTCAAGAACAAATGCTCTTAACTGCTGAACCATCTCTCCAGCCCCCAAAGGAGGAAAAACTGAGAAGATTAGGGAGAACAAGAATGAGATGTTCTACCTTTTATACTTATTTACAAAGTGCACAGTATGAAAACAAGGGGTTAAGGGCTTTTATTTGGGGTCACTTTGCTATTGTTACGTTGTGCTGCATGCACCATCGTTCCTTCTATTAAGGCCACACATGGAGATTTACATCGATTCAGGGCAATATAAAAGACATGAAAAGGCTGGGCGGTGGTGGCACATGCCTTTAATCCCAGCACTTGGGAGGCAGAGGCAGGTGGATCTCTGTGAGTTCGAGGCCAGCCTGGTCTACAGAGCAAGTTCCAGGACAGCCTCCAAAACAATACAGAGAAACCCTGTCTTGAAAAACAAAAACAAAAAACAAAACAAAACAAAACAAAAGACATGAAAAGGGCAAGTTTCTTTTTGGAGTTTCTAATAATTTACACCAAGCCAAAATGAACCATTCTGAGAGAACCAACATCTTCAATGTCCTGCAAGTAAACAGATAAAAATAATTAAACCATTTTCAAACAGAGTAAAACAGCAACTTAACATTCATATCTTGATGAGGGACGTCCTTCTATATATATGTTTCTCTTATTGGTTGATGAATGAAACACTGATTGGGCAGCAGCCAGGCAGGAAGTCTAGGTGGGGCTATGAGACCAGGAGAATTCTGGGAAGAGGACGCAGAGTTCTCAAGGGAGATGCTATGTAGCTGCTGAAAGAGTAACACGCTGGAGCATTCTCTGGTAAGATAGGACCACATGGACATACTTAGATTTATACAAATGGGTTATTAATTAAGAGAGAGCTAGCTAATAAGAAGTCAGAGCCATAGGTCAAACGGTTTATAATTATTATAGGTCTTTGTGTGTTTATTTGGGACAAAGTGGCTGTGGGACCAGGCAGGACAGAAACCCCGTCTACAATATCTTTATTATTTTTAAATATTTCAAAACAGTGAAATGAAATAAAAATGTGCTGTGCTTATGTAAATGGACTTTCATGTTTATCTTACTGAGTGACTACAATTTTCATAGCTATGTATAAAAATCAACCCAGAGCTACTAATGACAGGGAGGCGGAGAAAGAACAGGGTGAGGCGTCAGGTGCAGCCTCCAGCAACACACATCATCTGTGACTTTGCTCCAGTGCGCTTGCCAGGTTCCCAGAACACGCACTTCTCGTTGTCTTTAGTGTATGTGTGTGTGCATGGTGTGCGTGAGGAGGTCTGAGGTTGACAGCAGGTGTTTTCCCCTAATGCTGCCCACTTTCGTTATCAAAGCAGGGTCTCTTGCTGATCTCACAGCTTGCCAAATCTGGCTGGTGTAGCTGCCCCTGGAATCCCTCTCATTGCCTCTCCCTGCCTCCCAAGTGGTGAGATTAGATGTGAGCATCGCACCTGCCTGATGTGTGTGGTGCTGAGGATCTGAACGCAGGTCATTTTATTTGCTGGTCAAGTGCTTTATTCACTGAGATATCTCCCCAGACCTAACATATCCTTCCAAATCTTGCCTTTATTTTCACTGTTTGTTAAAGTAATAGACCACAAAACAGTTAAGGCCATATATCTTTTTGTTTTATGAAGGTATAAAGAAATACCATGAGAATCTCATCTTCCATTTGTTTTCTTTTCATGATCCCCCGCCCCAACCTTGTTAACCACAGAGCAAGATTTTGTGACAGAATTCTGAAATTAAAGGTTCTTGGAGGTAAGACAAGGATAGGTAATTGTACTTGAAAATAAACAGTGGGTGTATTTTTTTGAAAAACACTGTAGGCTACTTGATATTGAAATGACAAAGACATTGAAGACACTGCTCTTAAAATCCAGGTGGAAATAATTTATTTAAAATAATTTTAGGGTGTGTTTAGCTTAGTGGTAGAATGTTCGCTTAGCATGTGCTAGGGAGTGGGAGGCGGTTAAGTTCTATGTTCCAGCTCTTCTGACTGGGAGAAGCTTTTCATAGACTTTGCTTTACACTTGGATCCTGGAAGGCCAGGTTGCTTCCCTAAGAAGTCCTGTGTGCTCTAGTTGTTTCTTTCATCCTTCCCTTCCTTCTTCTTCTTTTTCTATTTTCTTCCTTCCTCTCTGTGATCCCTTGGCTCCCCTCCCCCATCCCCTTTGCTTTCCCTCCACTGATGCCAGGGTTTCCTTAAAAAAATCTTCTTTCTCTTTCTGAAGTTCTTAATTTAGATCCATCTGGTTCTTAAAAGCTTTACTCTGGAACAGTGGTTCCCAACCTTCCTTATCCTGTGGTGATCCTTTAATACAGTTCCTCATGCTGTACTAATTTCATTGCTACTCTATACCTGTAATTTTGCTACCATTATGAACTGTAATGTAAATATCTGTTTTTCAGTGATCTTAGGTGACCCCTGTGAAAGGGTCACTCAACTCCCAAAGACTTGTGACCCACATGTTGAGAACCACTGCTTTAGGACGTTGATTGGTACCTGACTTACCTTAGGCAGATGTATTGAAGATTTAAAAAATAAGATATTTTGTATTTGATAATTTAACGTCATTAAAAGTAAAGAATACTCATCAAATACAATTTAGAAAATGTAAATATATAGCTAACATAATTTACTTGCAGTATTTTTCCATATGTTTTAATAAATGATATTAAACACACACACACACACACACACACACACACACACAGTCATGATTGAACCCAGGGTCTTGTTAACACCAGGAAACACTCTAACACTAAGCTATATCCTCAGCTGGTATTTGGATATATAATCTTTGAGTTTTATGTTTTAGTTTTATTCCATTACATAGTATTGCTTAACCATTCCTTGTTTTTTGGTTTTTGGTTTTTCAAGATAGGGTTTCTCTGTATTGCTTTGGAACATGTCTTGGAACTCACTCTGTAGACCAGGCTAGCCTTGAACTCACAGAGATCCACCTGCCTCTGCCTCCCGAGTGGTGGAATTAAAGACGTGCACCACCAACACCAAGCTTAACCATTCCATTTAAGTTAAATTTATATGGTTTCTGATTTCTTCTCTTTATAAATAACCCTGGGGTGGATGTTCTTAGGCATGGAGACTTCCTGTGTTTACTGTCACTTCTTACTCTGGAAACCCCTGTGGAAGAAGGACTATTGGCTTATAAAAACTGGAGACTTGGTGGGTTTGCTTCGTTTTTCTTTCCTTTTGGTTCTTGACCAAAGGCTGCCCTCAACTTTATTATTGTGTGCTGCGCTGCCAATCCTTGACTGAATGGAAGTGCATGTTAATTCTTGTAGTAATTTGCAGCAACAGAAGGCTGTACTGGGCTTCTCCACTGATTTCTACACATGACTAAGCACCCGCCAAGCACTATGCTGTCCCCAGTGCTCACTGGAGACCAGGTTGCTCTCCCTTCCATCACTCAGACTTTGCTGAGATTCAGCAGCAAGTTAAGAGCTGCTTTGCTGCAGCTGGATCTGGGTCTCCTGTCATTTAGTGCCGTGGTTTTCCTCACATGGCATTGTCATTTTATGGTAGGGTTCCTCCATGTTACCAATGGTGTTTCATTGCCTTTCTCATTTAACAAGCACCAGTTTGCAGGAGGAGCAAGTCTGGAGCCCGAGGATGAAATGACAAGTGTGGTTTAGTACAGGTGTTACATCTGGGATGCTATCTAGTCAGAGTTATGTATTCTCCTTTTTGCACTTCCATTAGCTTGGAAACACTAAACTGTTCGAGCAAAGTAGCCATATAGCTTTAAGAAAGTTATAGCCTTGTGTGGCAGTAAACTTCCCATAGTCCATGCTGGCCTTAAACTCACTATGTAGCCAAGGCGGGTCTTGAACTTCTGTGTCTCCTGCGTCTAACTCCCAAGTGCTAAGATTACAGAGGTGTTCACTACCACAACTGGTACAAGCTAGAAGTTACAACAAGAAATGCATTTTCGGAGCTAAGAGGACAACTTGAGGGGTCAGCTCTCTCTCCTTTCACTATGTGGGTCCCAGGGACTGAACTCAGGCTTAGTGACAAGCGTCTTAACTCATTGAGCCATCTTGCCAGCCAAGCTACAAGCTCTAAAAGATTCAATTTATTTTGGGACATGTCTTATTATGTAGCCCAGGTTGGTTTTAAACTCATGGTAATCCTTCTGCCTCATTTCTCTGAACCTGGGTTCAACAAATTTATGGCTAATGATGCAATCCAATCTACCTTCCATCATTACAAGGCCTACAAGTTAAGAAGATAGATATCCAAGTCCCCCCACAACAGATGTTTTGTACTTCAAAATGGTTTACAAAAATATCAAAGCATATTTTATAATAACTTCATGAAATTCATGGTTTTATGGTAATCAAATTTTATTGGGACATAAGGACCCTCAATTAAGATTAGACAGGCTATTTTTTGGTATGATATCAGAGTAAAGCAGCTGTAACAAAACTGTATTCTACCAAGCCTAAATATTTTTTGTCTGGCCCTTCATAGGAAATGTTGGATGATCCCTGCTCTAAACACTAATAAGAATCATTTTCCTGCTTTTTATAAGCTTCCTGTCATAGAAACCAACTTGCTGAGGAGGAAAACCATTCACAATTCTTGTCATTTAGTATAACTAGTAATACATATTAACTACATAAACTACTGGAAGTTGCTGTAGCATTTGTGTGCACGAATACTGAGTTCATCATGTCCTCCTCCCTTCTGCTCACACGTCCTTCTTGGTACCCAGCCATCCATCTATTTCCAGGGCATCCTTTTATTTTCATTAGCCAGTGGAGAGTGGTTTGGCTCAAAATGAAAAAAGTGCCATGGTTGAGAGACCCCAGTCTAGAGCTGCTCTGTTGTCATGTCCAGCTTTATTCAGTCCGAGCTGGGCAATTATGGGAATTGTCCAGTTATTTCCCGGTTATTAATCCCGGTTATTTTCATGGTGCTAAAACCAGCCTCACTCATGGAGCACCTGTAAGAGCTAGATTTTCACCCAAAACACTAAGACTAGAGTCAGTCATGAGAAGCACCTGGAAAATGTGATAATTACTGCAATTTTATTTTTTATTGGGTACACCCAATTGAAGTCATAAAAGAGGTGATAACAATGTGGAAAAATCGTTATTCCTATGGTTTGGATGTGGTTTTTCTCCTAAAGGTTGATTTACTGAAATCCTTAGCAGGTTGTAGGACCTTGAAGATCGGAGGCTCAGTAAGGGTGATCTCCACAGGCCCTCATGCTGGACTTGCAGAGTGGACTGCTGTAAAGGAGAAAGTCTAACTCCTATCTCTTTGGTCAGTTGGTCGGTCTGTCTGTCAGTCTGTCTGTCTGTCTCCTGCCATTGAGATGCTGTGTTCCATGAAGCCCTTGTCAGATGCTGAGTTGATGGGGTTATCTAATCTTGTGCTTTCAGCTTCCATAATATAGCTTAAAATATATTCTTTATAAAGTACATAGCCTTTATAAAATATATTCTTTATAAAGTATGGCATTTCATTACAGTGAAAGTATACAGTCTGTAATGGTACAAGAAAATATGCATGTTCATTGAAGCACTATTTAGAATAGCCAAATTAAGCAATTAGCCAGGTATTCATTCAGAGATAAATAGATAAGTGTGGTATAGATACATAATGGGGCTTTAGTAAGATATAAAAAGAATGAAATTATGTAATTAATAGGGAAATGGATGGAACAGGAGATCATCAACACATAACCATGTTCTCTCTCGTGGAGTCTAAATCATATATAGATATAAATGTGTAGGCATAACATGTATATTCATGGTTGTATGTTATATATGACATGGAAGAAGAGACCTAGGGAGAGGACTAGTCGGAGGGGAGGGGGGGAAAAGGGAATAAATATGGTCAAAATGTACAGTACGTCAAGTGAAAATACCTTTACAAAGCAGCAGATAAACTCTAGTCAAATACACACACACACATGCACACGCACACACACGAATGTATTAGATCAAGCTAGATGGTTTAGTGAGTAAAAGTACGTGCTTTCAGGTTTGATCTCTGGAATCTGCACAATGTAATGAGACAGCGATCTCACAAACTGCCCTCTGACCCCCACACGCACATCGTGGCACATGCGTGTTGTTTTGTGGCACATGCATATTGTTTGTGGCACACGTGTGCTGCTGTCTATACCCCCACAAACAAAATAAAAAACATGTAAAGATACACTTCTAAAAGAAATTGCAAAGCAATATCTTAAATACATATGTAAATAAAATTGGTCAGTTTCTTTCAGTTCTAGCAAACCGAATGTAGATTATTCATGTATATTTGTTGAACTATAGATGGCTTTCCTCCTAATTAAATCCAGATCTAAAAAATAATGTCAATAAAGGTATGACTTTAAAGAGGTTGGTTAAACCAAGTCCTTGTAATGGAAGCACTTGGGAGGACGAGGAAGGAGAATTGCCCTGCAGTTGAGGCTGGCCTGGGCTACCAAGAATGAATTAAAAAATTAAAAACAAACTATAACAAAAATGCAAAAAAGTAGAATGAATTAATGGTATTGATAATTCCTATTATTAGGACAGTTACATACAATTAACAAACTCCTACCACACTCATTCAGAAAATAACTTCATGACATTCCTATGCAGTACGTTTTACAAATCAACTTTAGACTTAAAGAGATGATAATGGCTTGTCCAAAATGATGCCATTACTGTAGACACCATTCACACTGATGCCTTACAATGAATTAGTTCACATGGCTGTGTGCATAATAAACATAATACTATGAGGCATTTTTTCTTTTCATAACATTTTTTGGGGGTTGATGAACTTAGATAGGATGTCAGAGACAGAATACAGAGAGGGACCACTTGTCAGATATTTTATAAGCATTTCTTATAGATGCATTTCTTCAGCTAAGTCTTTCTAAGTCTTCGGGGTAATTTTCACCATCCACTAGTAAAAAGTGGCATGCACAGACACACATGGATACACAGCTACAGACTGCCCCCACCCTGTTTAATTTCAGACTACTGATGACTTTGAAGAAGTTTCACTAAAGATAAAAAGCTAAATAGTTATCCACCAGCTGTTAATGTAGCCTGGTTAAGGGAGACCAGCAGACCGCATGCAGGGTCAAGTACAGTTTCTCACAGACACTTTACCTGTCCCCTGCAGTCTTCTTTCGGTCCTCCTAAAATGAGATCACAATATGAATGTCTGAAAATCTAATAAATAATCACAAATAAATTCAGATGTTTTAAATGTTAGAGGAAACAATAGCTGGATTTTAACTAGTAAGAGTGTAAGAGTGCCAATGACAAGAGAATGTGTAGCTCTCTGAACTTGGAAGACTTTCAATCTCCATACTCAGTTAAATGGAGGACGCCCACATTGTTCCTGTCTAAAACTATGTATTTGAGACAGGGTCTCACTGTGTAGCCCTGGTTGTCCTGGAGCTCATTATATAGACAGGCTGGCCTTGAACTCACAGAGATCCACCTGCTCAGCTTATTCTTTTCTTACAGAGTGTCTTCACAGCAAGGCAGGTGAGTTTCACTGACACACCAAGGCTCTGGTTGGGCAGTGAAAGTCTGCACTCCTACCCACACAGGCTTCTGTATAGACACAATGCTGCTTCTGCAGATCCCAGATCTTCTACTCTGTCCTCTCGATCTGTGATCTTAAAGGATTCCCTTTCCTTCTAAGGCACTCAGTTCTGCACATCTTCCTAGTGCAGTGTGCAGTGTGGGAGAGACAGAGCAGGTGGGTCAAGCTGCAGTCGTCTTCACGGGAAGTGGTGGGAGGACACAGAGCACCTGCACCCTCACACTCTTCCTCTCCGCGCTGTCTGCAGCACGCATTCTGTATGCTGAGATGCATGCTGGCTGCCAGGGATGGATCGCTCTGTCACTTTGTCACTTTTTGGTTTGGTTTTGTTTTTTTGAGACAAGGTTTCTCTGTGTAACAACCATGGCTGTCCTGGAACTCGCTCTGTAGACCAGGCTGGCCTCCAACTCAGAGATCCGCCTGCCTCTGCCTCCCGAGTGCTGGGATTAAAGGCGCGCACCACCAATGCCTTGGTACACTTTTAGGGAGTCTCTTACATAGTTGCTTTTGTTACCTAGTCACTATGTACATATGTATACTGCTGTCCTGCTAAATTGCACAAGAGACAAAGCTCTTTCCCAGAAATCCAAAGACTGGGACTCCTTGAGTGTAAGCTCCAGGTTTACCACATATGTGTCAAGTGAGCTTGCTAGGAATACGGACTCAAGGGCCCTACCTTAGACCTACTGAATTAGAGTCAACATTTTAACAGGTCTTCAAATGTACCTGTATTTATTCATGTTATCACTGATGTTTACCTTTGCTTTCATCAGATAATTCATCATTTTCTATTCTATCAGCCATCAGCAGTCTTTCCCTCACTAGAAATACTTAGGGTTTCTCATCACTAGTCTACAGAACTCCTGATATGAGCACACCCTTCCTGTTGTCCTCTGTGGGACCTGAGTTCCATTACCTTCTGCATCTGAGGTGGTGGTCACCGAAGACTCAGTGTGGGTCTTCCCCTCCTGCTCATTCCTCCTCTCAACTGCCTGTCTGTCAGGTGGAAAGAAAAAGGGATTAAGAAAGAATACACATACACACATACATACATACATACATACATACATACATGAATACACACATACATACATATGGGTAGGTATGTTACAGAAGGAACTCTATACTCTAATGTTTAGTATAGTGAGCATGTTAAATATTTTCTGAATATTTTAAAAACACATTTACAAAATTTCCTTGAAACCTTTCAACAATTATGTCACTTTAATATCATTGTTAAAAAGAAAGTATCTTTCTTTTCTAAAATATTATCATCATTTTAACAAGTACTCACTGTGTGCCACTGACTGGCCTAGAACTCACTCTGTAGATCAGGCTGGCCTTAAATACAATGAGATTCACCTCCTCTGTTGGGATTAAAGGCGTGAGCCACCACATCCAGCCCAAATCTTATTTTTAATGAGCCATTTTTGCAGTTCTAAGAATTAAGGCCAGCATCCAGTGCTCACTGGCAACGTTCTCACTCTTAGCGCACCTGTAGCTATTATTTTTCCCTGTAAACTGGTAACATTCAACCCCCAGTTGCAGTCTCTTGTTCCTCCTCCCTCTTACAGACCTTCCCTCTTTACAAATAGCCCCATCTGCTTTCAAGTTTTGTTCTTAAATCTAGGTTCCACATGAAATATTTGCTTTTCTGAGCCTGACTTTTTTCACTAAAGATTATGATGTACCATTTTCTTGTAAATGACATGAGTTCACCCTTTATGGTGGAAGCCATTTTCCATTATTTTGCAATTAAGTATTGACCTGACTTATATCCTGCTGTTCCCCTCTCTAGGACTCATGGTGGCATAGTTCTTCCTGGTTTCTGCTGACTACTCTGGGTGATGCTCAAATCTGAAAACTTAGAGCTAGGAGCCACAGATGGGAGAGAACATGGGACATTTGTCTTTGAGTCTGGATAATCTCACTCAGCATGATCTTTTCCATCCATGTGCCTGCATATCTCATGTCTTCATTATCCATTTGTTAGCTGAAGGTATTCTAGGCTGTTTATATTCATAGGTATTGTGAATGGAGCTGCAATGAGTATGGCAGAGTAACTATCTCTAGAGCAGGATGTCAAGCCCTTTAGGCATTTGTCAAGGAGAGCTGGATCTTGTAGTGGATTTATTTTAGGTTTTTGTGCATTCTCCATATTGATTTTCAGAGTGGCATTTCCACTAACAGTGAATGAAGGTCCCCTTTCCCCTGCCTGTTCATCCAGCATTTGCTGTCAGTTGTTTTGTTGATCTTAGATGTTCTGACTGGAGTAAGATGAGGTCTGTTATTTAGATTTGCCTTTCCCTATTGCTATAATGATGAACAGTATTTGAACATTTTTATGTCTTCATTTGAGAGTTCTCTGTTCAGATCCATAGCCTACTGTTTGAATGGGTTGTTGGTTTTTTGTCTCTGATCTTGAGTTCTTTATGTATCCTGGATATTAATCCTCTATCAGATGAATAACCAGAAAAGATTCTCCCCCATTCTCCTCAAATGACTGTTTCCATAGCTGTAAAGAAGCCTTTTAGTTTTATGAGGCCCTACATAGCAATTGTTGGCCTTGATTTCTAGACAAATAGAGTCCTTTTCAGAAAGTCCTTTCCTGTAGCTATCTCTTATAGGGCACCGCCTGTGTTTTCTTCTGGCAGTCTCAGTGTTTCAGGATTCACATTGAGGTCTTTATCCTGTTCCAGTGAGTTTTGTGCCGGGTGACTGACAGTAGGGCTAATTCCATTCTTCTGCAAGTGGACACTTAACTTTCCTAGCACCTTTTGCTGAAGACGCTGCCTTTTCTCTAGTAATGTTTTGGCATCTCTGTCACGTATCACATGCCTGCAGTCACATGTACTCATGCTTTCAGTGGTTGATATGTCCTCTGTGCCAGTACCATGGCCTATAATATATCTCGAAATCTGGAATGATAATCCTTCCTCTATTTTTCTTTTCTCAAGACTGCTTTGGCTATCTTGGGTCTTTTCTGGTTCCAAGTAAATTATAGGATTTGTTTTTCATTCTATTTTTGTAAGAATGAGATACAGATGTTAACTGTGCTTACAGTGAGTCTGTAAATGGCTTTTGGTAGAATGACCATCTTTACTATATTAATTCTACCAACCCATGACCACAGGTCTTTCCATCTTCTAGTGTCCTCCTCAATTATCTTTCTTCAGAGATTTAAGATTTTTCATTATAGATGTCTTTTACCTCCTTGGTTGTGTTTATTCCTCCATGATTTATTTTTGAGGCTATTGTGAATAGGAGTGTATCCACGCCAGCTTTCTCAGCATGTCTGTTGTTGGTGTATAGAAAAGCTACGGCTTCTTCTAAGTTGAGTCTGTACATTGCTATGTTGCTGAAAATTGTTCACTGTTTCTACAAGTTTTCTGGTGGGATGTATGAATTTCTTAGGGATAACAGCATATCAACTGCAAATGGGTAGTTTGACTTATTTTCCTACTTGTATCTCTCTAATGTCCTCATCCATTGCTATAGTTTGTGCTTCAGGCACTATATTGAAAAGAAGTGGGACACTGAACAGACCAGTTTCATTCCTGACTTTAATGGGATCACTTTGTGTTTTTTTTCCACTTAGGATAATGTTGGCTGTGTATGTCATATGTCAATACACAGGCTTTTATGTTGGAACATACTTCCTCTAGTCCTATTCTCTTTAGGGCTTTTGTCATAGAGCTTTGTTGCATTTTGTCAAATGCTTTTTATGTATCCATTAAGTCTATTTGAATGACTTCTCACATTTATTGACTTATTTATTTTGATTCATCCCTGAATCTCTTGGATAGAGCCAACTTGATCATTGTTGCTGGTTTCCTTGTCCCACCACTTCAGCCCAAATAAACACACAGAGATGCTATATTAATTATTAAACTATTGGCTGATGGCTAGGGCTTCTTATTGGCTAGCTCTGTCTTAATTATTAGCCCATTTCTATTAATCTAAGTATTCCCACATGGTCTTATATGGAGAACGATCCGGACCTGTTACTCCTTCCTCTGCTAAATGGCATCTCTGGGGGTCTCTCTTCACCTAGCTTTCCCAGAATTCTTGTCTCCTAGTCCCGCCTATTTTCCTCCTTCCATTGGCCAAACAATGTTTTATTCATCAACCAATAAGAGAAACATGTATAGAGAAGGTAGATGATCTTTTTGATATATGCCTGTATATGGTTTGCAATTGTTTTATTCAGGATTTCTGCATCTATGTGTCTCAATTGCTAATTTTATTGCTGTGACAAAACACCATGACCAAACACACCTTTTCTTACAGCATCCATGACCATGGGCTATAAGGGATGGCCCAGCCCACAGTAAGCTGGGCCCTCCTATGTCAATTATCAATCAAGAAAATGCACCAGAGGCTTTGCCCATGGGCCAATCTGGTGGGGATACTTTCTCAACTGAGGCTCTTTCTTTCCAAACGACTTTGGCCTTGTGTCAACTGTCATACAAACTAGCCACTACATATGTTCATCTGGGATAGTGGTTTTCTTTTCGTTAGCTGGGCCAAGGATCTGTCATTCTTATTTATTTTCTTAAGAACCAGCTTTTATATTTGTTGATTATTTGTTTGTTTCTATTTCATTAATTTTTCGTCTTATTTTTATTATCTTTTGCTAGTTACTGGGTTTGGATTTTGTTTTTCTTGTTTTTCCAAATTCTTGAGTTACATCAAAAAATCACTTATTTGTGCTCTTTTTTGATTTTTTTTAAATGAAGGCCTTTAAGAGTTATAAATATCCTACACAGGACTTCTTTTAGTATATCACTAAGTTTTTGTTGTGTTATATTTAAATTTCTTTTATTTTCAGGATTAAAAAATTCTCTCTTGATTTCTTCTTTGAGCCATTCATTATTCAATAATGAGCTGTTCAATCCTCATAAGTTTGTGACTTGCTAGAGATGTGCTTGCTATTGATTTTAAGTTTTATTGCATGTGGTCAAATAGGATATATAAAGTTATTTATATTTTTTTGTTAAGATATTTGTGTCCTAGGATATATTGTTTTAGAGAACGTCCTTTGGTCTCCTGTTAGAACTTACAGTCTTTGGTGTTTGGGTGGAAAAAACTGTAAATATTTTTTAAGTCATTTTTATGTGTGATATCAGGTAATTCTGATATTTCTACTTTGTTTTTCTTTTTTTTCCTAGATGACATGTCTATTGGAGGAAATGGTATACTGAAGTCACTGACTACCATTGGGTTGGTGTTAATCTATGTCTTTAATGTCAGTTGTATACTTCAAGTAAAATTGGGTGTAGCACTTTGGTACATACATACTTATGACTTTAAGGTCTTCCTGATTCCTCATTTCCATGGTCAGGATGGAATGTCCCTTATCTTTTTTGATTAGTTTTTGTTTGAAGTTTATTTTTGTCAAATTATCAGGATAGTAATGCCTGTTTGCTTTCTGGTCTCATTTTATTGGAATATTTTTTTTCTATCCTTTCACTTTAAGGTGGTGTCTATTTTTAACATACCTATTTATATCAATAAACTGCAGTTTCCCCTCCTTTCTCTCCTCCCAATCCCTCCCATACCCCAATCCACTCTTCCTCCTCTGTTTCTCTTCAGAAAAGGGCATGTCTTCCATGGATGTTAGCCAGCCATGGCATATCAAGTTGCAGTGAGAGTAGGTACCTCCTTTCCTATTAAGGTTGGAAGAAGCAATCTAGTAGGATGAAGGGGTCCCCAAAACAGGTAACACTGTTAGGAGTCGCACAATAAGATCAAACTACATAACTGTAACATATATGTAGGGGGCCTAGGTCAGTCCCATGTGTGGTGTCTATTTTAAAGCTGCATTTCTTTAGCAACAGAAAGATGGATTTTATTTCTTAATCCATTCTGTTAACCTGTTTCTCATGATGGGAGAGTTGAAATCATTAATATGTACAATCATTATTGAGAAGTGTGTGTTGATTGTAGTCATTTTGTTGTTTGTTTTGCTGTTGTGTTCCAGTAATTATGGCCTT